CAAGAATGATTAGCTTCCGAACCGATATATCGTCAACCGACGGACACAGATGGGACACAGCACTACAATTCCGATCTCTGTGTTTCACAGATAAGGCCATGTGCACAGAGAAGGAAGTAGACAGTAAGGTAATTGCTGAACAGTGGACACCGGAAACCGGTAGTGAAAGACACGTTTCACAATATGCTAAAACGACATTGAAAATATACAGCGGAATGGATTGGGACGATAAGAATATTATAGGTAGAAGGAACTTCCTTTTCTTTTCCGACGGCACTAACCAAAGAATAAAACTCGGGATCTGTTCAACAATGGTGTATCTGAAAGACACACTTTTCGTAGATAAGATGACTAACGGTATTCACAAATGTATTCACATTAACTGAATATGTGTGTATAAGAGACATCGCGAGCGAACTGCACACAACGCTGCTGGAACACCTGAGGCGCATGTCACGGAGACGTCTAAGTATAATGCTCTACTGTGAGATTCAGCGGTCGTGATGCACCTGTTAGGTACGGTACATGTAAGGTGGCCAGATTACCTTACTGTCTACTTCCTTCTCTGTTCACATGGCCTTATCTGTGAAACACAGAGATCGGAATTGTTGTGCTGTGTCCCATCTGTGTCCGTCGGTTGACGATATATCGGTTCGGAAGCTAATCATTCTTGCAAACAGAGCAGTCAAGGAATGGCGATGTGCTACTATGGTGGGCGATTTCAGATTCCTCACAAACTATCTTTTCTCATCCACTTCATGTTCAAAATGTGCCATCCACTTGATACCAACAACTTTTGGCCATTTACTGGAGTTTGCCGGTACAATGTACAACATAGTGGCCATTGGCGATCTAATGATAACATCATGTTCTTGAGTGCCTACTTCCGACTGAAACCCGAGCTAGAACAACGTACCGCGCAATGTCTTACTCTCGGTTGTTTCAACCAAATTAATTTTCGGTCACTCCCTAGGTTAATCTCTTCAGTCAAATAGCGTTTCACCATACCCAGTGCGTCGCATTTCGGCATCTTGGTGAGGAGTGCGCTAACGTTAACATAGATCATCGTTTCATCTTCGTTTCACACGAACTCATGACGGTTCTTTACAAACGTATTCCTTCACTCTGTCAACGGCTACATTATACTAACCATTGCATGTAGACCAGCAAATGCGAACTTTTGCCAACCGGGTAACCTTATCACAATTAATGCGGTACTCTTCCGCAAAGCTCGGTGCAGTGCATCATGCATTACTGTGCAGATGCTGATGTTAACCCCATCATTAAGGCCGATCAACTGCAGTTAACAGGTAATTCGGCCACACCCACCGATAACTAACGCATTGTTCCATGATAGCGCGTAGTGAAGCACTGCACGCATTAATTATTTCACCTACCCACTATTAACCACAACCGATCACACGTAGACACCGCTTAGTCTAGGTCACACCATGTGAGGTTACGGATCTGCAGCTAGTTTCAGTGAAGGCAATCGATACCGTCTCATTGTAGAGTACATTTCATGTCCGGTCGTCTGCACGTAACAGTGAGCACTATGGACGCGAATGGCCGCCCACTTCTGTGTTGTGTGTCTTGATGCTGCGTAAGTGAGTGGGCGGAAAATACAGTACTTCCTCAACCGCCCATAGATGCCGTGTACTAGTTCGCACCTATCCTACAGTGAATGAGCTTAAGTGTTGTTTTCACGTCCGCTGTGCACCACGTGGGTTGTTGGCTGAGAGCAGTCTAACCGCTGCACCAACCGATGCAGATGTTCTGAGTATGCTTGTACTGATTTGCAATTGGTCAAGATGATGGATTCAACTTGATGTGCTTATGAATAGGGTTGAATATTCTTAAGGAGGAGCTTGATTCCTTTATGGACTGGCTTGATTCTTTAAAGGTACAATGTACGTACGCCCAACTCGTATATCTGCTCCCTGCACGCTAGCTGTCCGCGATTGCGCCTGTGACCGTCGTTCACCTGTCAATCGACTATTGTGCTCCAAACGCTCGGCGGCGTGTTAACTGGCTTGTGTGTTTTCTCCTAACTTGCTTCAATGCGGCCTTCAGTAGAACGTTGCTTTTCACTTACTAGGTGAATCTGACACGCAACTTGAACAAAGAACTATCTGCCGTCTACCGTCGTACTCTCAGGAGTGTGCATTTTTCAAGAGGATTCGGTGTTCACGCAATTGGTTTGAGTTTGGATTTACCTAAACCTTCTCACTAGCCATAACGAAAACCATGGCATTAACCTACTTGATTCTAATATAGATACAGCACCTCACTAATACCTTGTTAACCTGTGAGCGTAAGGAAGTATCTCTTTAACGAAATCCTCATTGTTATACTCGGTGTTGGTGTCTGATTCTGTGTGCGTGTGTGTGTGTGTGCATACGGAGTGTTTAAGCGTCACTTTAAAAGGTGCATTATGTTTGCCATTAGTATACTATAGCCAATGTTGAGATGAAATAACGCTAGCATATTTTGTATATCCAGCTGCCGTCTTACGCTGGACAATAAAAGCTGAAATCGCTCAGTTTCTGAAGACGGAAACTGGCATAATGGAAATTTGCTAGCAATTAATTGCACCAAAATGATGCAACCCACTGACAAGTGGTCCAGGCAAGATGTAGCCCATTTGATTACCATCAAAAGACTAATGCTGTATTATTTTCTACGGATGTTATGAGAGTCTTAGAAGGTGGATTCGATAAGCAAAGTGTTTCCGTCAGGTAGGACGGCTGACACGGTTATGCCGTCTGGAGGAATACGCTCTTCCAACATTACATGAGGTCGCGCCAAACACGGGCAACCATACGGTGCGGAACTAAATACTGAGACACAATTGATGCATTGGTATTACGTGCCGGAAAGTCCAGTGAATGATTTCACCCTAGAATACATGGACGCACTGGACGACAGCAAACAAAAGTAAATAGTGGAGACAAAATATCAACGCTCCGTTGAATATTAAAAAGCGGTTTTTGAGTATCTTTGTAATAGATTCACTGGGGATTAATCTCAGCTACATGTGGTCAGAAATGAGCTAGTGAGCCGTTTCTTCTGCACTGGCTGCCCTTAAAGCTTTATTTAACCGATGTATGGTTAGTTACGCTTAGCTCGCACTTTCGAATTCGCGGCGACGGGACTATCAGAATGCTGGTGTTTCAACCCAGCTTGGATGAAACATGATTTGTATCGAGTGTTGCTGGAGCAACGAGTTCATTATGTCTAGGTTTGGCTACGTAAACTCGAACAGAGCCACATGCGCTTAATAGAAATCAACATTGATCTCGCTCATCTTCTTAGCATACATCGCGCAGAACAGATCGGAGTTCAATGGGGCAAAGGAAATACAAGGCATTCTAGTTAGCAGCGTAAAAAGGTTATCAATATGCGACTCTCTAAACTTATTGGTAACGGCGATATCAGTTGCTTCACTTAATGTGCAGCATTTATGCTCCACATTATTCAAAGATGCGTGGAGAGTTCTTAAACGGGAAAGCATTATTATAACATTTCCCAGTCATGTTAGGGAATGGCGGAATCAGGTTACGTCATAACAATTTCAATTTGCGCCGTCAACATGTTAAATTTGGTCCATTCAACAAGTCCGCAGACGTAGATGACATGCAAACACCTCACCTTAAACGCAGTGGTTCAGCATATGCTACTAAGCGATTAACGGCGGAAATACTTCGCGTGCCTAAGTGAGAAATCTATGCAATTACTGGAAAAAGATCTTGAGTGGGTATTATGCCAACTCAAACTCGGTTACGAAGTTGACGGCTGAACTTTGCTTACCGCCCTTCTTAACCAAGTGATCCAAAATTTGAGCAGTAAAATGGAGGTAACGAAAACGAAAATCATGGCGTAACTCGGGATCCTACCCGCTTTACACACTATTAATTGCACATGGAGTAATGTACAATACAGGACAGTTTGATGAGCCGACAGAGTTGGTTTCAGTAGTCATTGTGCTCTGCTGCTTCTTTCTCTTGACGTCGCAAATCGCGGAACAGAGAGTTTACTGCATGTAGCACACATCATTTGAGCCAGCGTAATTCGGAAATCTCGATTAAGTGACAAGTAGACGAAAAACGTGGAGGCAAAAGCCAACTGTGCCAGATTTACACTGACCATACGATAAAGGCTGTGTGCTATGCAATACTCCACACCATCAAATGAACATATTCCCAGTGTGGTAAATACACGCAAATAGGCGAGCGCTTGTGGAATTTGACCAGCCAAAAATAAGAGGATGACTGCAATAAGAAGAATTGTCAGCTTGTTCTGAATGGATCTTCGGCGTTGGGCGCGATCGCATGCGATTGTTAGGGAACATGATTGACTCCTCGATAGCTTTCTTCTGCATTGTCGGAGGGTGGTCGGTTGAGCCCGCTTGATAAAAGCTTTCAATGTAACCTGAATTGGATTCAAAGCATTAAAGTGCCCATCTCTCTTTACTACATCAGTCGTCGTGGTTGGAGATCCATTTGTTATCCCACTAATGCACTGAAATTGATCTACGAGCTCAGTATAAGTATGTTGTTCTTCATGCGTAAATCTTTGACGAATACCAACTTTTTCACACGCCTGGATTTCATGACTCTGATCACGGTGGGAGGGAATGCAACAAGTGGGGCTACTTTGTCTGCTTTCGCGAAGCTTCTGATTATGCTGTGATACCAAGACAAACAGCATGCAATTAGAAACGCAGAGGAAACACAAAGGAATAATCTGGACCAAAATCAGACGCAACCAAGAGAAACCGGCATAGTAATGCGATTGAGAGAACCCCGTCATACGACTGTACAGTTCCAGCGTCCCGTTTATGCGAGTGACCGCAACACTTTGAAGCGCAAAATAAGGGAGGTTGAAAGTTACTGCCACCAAAAATAAAATGCCCACCAGCTTCCGCGTTTGCGGTGGAGTGAAGTATCGTTTTGCTACGTGCCAATGCTTCATACTCACATATCGTTCGATAGCCAGTACCATGGTTAACCAAGCGTTGATTGTCTCTGACATGTTTGTCGCTGGAGTCTCCACGTAGAGATTATAAACATAGACGTAGATTGCGCCATCTGACGATTGGTTCATTAATTGAGGTAGGCTTAATGAAAAGAGGAACAGAAAGTTTTGTGTTACTGAATGACAAAGATAACGAAATGCCTTACTAATAAACAAGCTGGCACAGTACCCAGCAAGTCAGTGAATGAATACATCAGGTCTTTCTTGATTTTTATTTGGTTCCAAATACCCGACTAATGCTGGTAATTCGGGTTGCGCAAGGTAACATAAAATCATGCTAAAAATATAGGTATGCATCTAATTAGGCACCCATATATACTTGGAAGCAGGGAGACTTTCACCAGTTGGGCATAACCAGAGAAATGCAAGCAGTCCGTATGCATGAGTTCACCCAGTCAAGTACGGTAATCAGTAGAGTAATTTGTCTATTCTCACGTGACTTATCGGCGCATGCTTTGCTATCATGCTCTTTAATACTTACTATATCATTAATGCGTATGGAAAGGGTGGAAATTTTTGTGTGAATGTTGCAGTTGCAGTTTTTGAGATCAGTTAGTGATTTATGCTACCGATTATTTAGCTGCTTATTGTTTTGATACGCATCGGGCTTGTCCGAACGATTTTGGTGCTCATCATTGCTACTGAAACAACTGAGATCGGACTAGATTACAAGTTTTAAGTATTCCTCTCTTTCGTTCCGCATGCCACGACCTCAGTGTGCTGTTTTTTGTCGGCTTTAATCACGCGGGACTTCAGTGCGTAACTTGACCTTGACCTTGATTTCCCCTAAATGCCTAACACAGGTTTCGCAGTACCGCGCGTTATCCACTATTGACATACAATGAACAAAGTGACTTTCAGTTGCGTTCTTAGCAGACGAAACGTAAAGGAGGCAGGTCAGATTGTGAACACTTGATCAGCGCACAACGTTCTGTTTGATTTTATCTGGAGTAGTAGACGCAGGGATCTGAGTAAGCCGTGTTAAACCTAACCAGCTGCCCACATAAAGGTTGTTGCAGTAGGATCAAAGTGACGGAGCAAAAGCGATAGATCATACATGACTGGCATATGAATATTTTGGGTTGCTACTACGGGAGGCAGCCTAACACACAGTGCCGAAGGCGTGAATTAACATCCTGTTAGTAAGTAACCTCATTCACATGCATAATTTAGTATGATTGCAATGTCATGAATTGACCTTAACAACATTTCTTCTCAGCAATGATGACTGACAACGAGCCGATAACATGAAATCCTCCTTGACTTCTAGCTGGAAACTGTTATGGAAATGAAAGCATGAGACGCGAGTGCACCCATTCGTTTGTCATAACCGATGCACCTAGTATAAGCTATGTCCGGACAATAAACACTTCCGCTGACACCTCGGCTTCAATCATTGGAGCCGTGACCAACCGAGGTGCATCATGAAGATCCCCTGGCCGGAGCCATTTGAACAAGGGGATGTGAGAATCCGCTTGGAAGACTTCTAGGATGTGACGGAGACGGTTGGAGTCAAGGCCGGCCGGCCGGCCGAAGCTGGTGGCACAGCGTAGACTCATCAAGGGTAGGACAAAGGCCGTCCCGGAGGTGGCGCGAAGAGGCAGTGTCCAGTTGAAGCGGGCCACCACGAAAAATGCCTTGGTGTCTGAATTGGACAGTCTGGTCGACCGCCACGAGGCGATTTGGCAGTGCAAAGCGGCATGGCTTTGTGTAGGGGCAGATGGTCCCATGTTTGCAGTTCATGTCAGGAACTTGTTGGACCGTACTTTGCCGGGAATGGACGAATCATTCAAACAGCAATTACCAATGGATCAGTTAATGGTTGATCTCCCAGGGCCAAGCGCGAGACGCGTTCATGTTGCGAACGCTACTCGGGGAATGCGGCTTGGGGAGTTGGCGCAGATTACTCGAGAGCTGAGTGATGCGCCACTAGTATCACTGAAGGAGGAAGACCATGAGGCGTGGACACGTTGGATAAAGTGGAACGGATGATGAAACAGCTTGTGCAAGATGGCAATTAGCTTCGCACTTAGTGCCCGGAGGAGCGAGCGAAAGAAAGTTGCTTCTTTGCGGGAAACCATGACACTAGGAAAGACAATGTCCTTTGAGGTGCGCTGCTAAATGTGTACCCATAAACGCAATCATCCTTGTTTAGCTTCTCTAATTGAAGAATGTCTGCTCGGACCACTGAATATTTGGGTAATCCAAGCGATGGTGCAAGTATGCGGAACGATGGAACGGTGTCTGATTTATACAGGTGCCTCAATACTGCTAATAAGCCACTGTCGGGGCGAAGGTCTTCAATGGTGCTCCATGGTCATGAGAGCCGCCGGTGGGTACTCAGTTTGCCTTGATGGTATGACAGAAAGCATCATGGGGGTCGCAGGACAGAAACGGACCCATATCTTCATCATGTCTCCAGAAGCCCAGATTTCATAGAGTTCAACAAGGCTGCCGTCGATTAAAAACGAGAGAAGTCGTTGTCTTAATACGGTGGATGCCAATAATTGGCCGCGAAAGAACAATACCTTTGCTGTCGGTCGTTGTCACGGGACACTTGGGTCTAGCTTTCTAGCCACTGATCACAAAGTATCACTCTACGTTATTGGATAATGGCAGCCCATAAAGATTTTGTGACTGGATCGTCACACCATCCCGCTAAACCCGCCATACTTGTCGGCCCTGGGGACCTCGAAGGATACCATTCCAGGAGCTCACACTTAACTTGTCCATTTCTAGAGAGCTGATCAAGGTAGCCACTGATGCCAGCGACCTCGGAGTCGGCTTGCTATTGAAACAAAGCCATGGGAAGATAGAGTATGCTAGTAGCAGTTTGACTCAGATAGAACGAAAACATTCCACCATAGAGAAGAAAGGTCTCGAAATCGTCTGAGCGTTGAATAAATGGCGTCCATATCGGCTAAGTTAGTGCCTTCGCGTTGAAACGGACCAGAAACTTTGGAATGGAATATGTCTGCCAAAGGTCCAAGGAGAAGGCTAACGCGACAAGCGCTTGGCCTACAGGAAAACCATTTCACGATAACGCATGCGCAGGGGAAGGAAAACCAAAATGCGGGTTCTTTGTCACGGATAAAGTATGATGATGACCTGCCGAATGTGAGTTTCGGTATTAATGGTGTACTGTTTGAGCAGCATCGGGGAGAGTTGGCAGCGGAACAACGTAGTGACAAACCATTGCGCCAAGGGAACATTGCATAAAATACCGGTCCATCAGTCCTAACCAAGAGCCAACACAAGCAGTAGGACCGTTTGCCAGAAACCTTGAAAAGCTACAAAATAAATGAAGCGGGAATTCTGATGTGGATACCAGGAGGTATGGACATATCAGTACTGGTTTCCCGACGAAAATAAGGCGAAGGCTGGTAAGTGCATATCACGAGGTAGCATACACTGGTTGTTTCAGGATTTACAATTTACTGTTACAACGCGCACATTGGCCGGGCATGAAGGAGGACGTTGATATATGCGTACCTTCGTGCAAGCTATGTCGGCTTTTGAAAACTGACTGCCGAGTAGCACAGAAACCAGTGAAGGCGATTCTAGTATTGAAATTTGGTGGACGATGGTCGATGGAACTGATGGGGCTGTTTCAGTTGACCAGGCGGTGCATCCAACACATCTTGCTGATGAGGGAGAACTTCACACGATGGATTAAAGCAACAGGAATCCCGCCTCAACGGGCGACCACCATCAATCGTGCTGTCAAGAAAAATGTGCTAACGGACCACGGAACACCAAAAGCCATATTAACAAACCAGGGTCCGTGGTTCTAGGGTGAGGAATTTCGCAATTTGGTACACAAATGTTCAGACAGCCCCATGCCACCAGCAGACGATTGGCTTGAGAGCGGGTTACAATAGAACGAGTAAAGAGTGGATAGCGTATAAGGGTGACGAATGGGAGGAAACTTTGCACTACTGTTGATGACACATCATGCATCCAAACAAGCCTTAACAACGAGATCACCATTTCAATCGACGCACGGTGGAGCACCTCGATTGCCTGTACATCAATACCATTTTACATGCAAACTCAGGCATAGCGCTAATAAGGTAGCTTGTTAAGAAAAATCAGAAAACGATTTGTGTATCCAAGTTCACTCTCGTATAAATTCATTCCCTCCCTCAAGAGGTTACATGCACGCACTAGCAGTGACGCTCACATTTGTCATCGGACAGTAGACAATGGGACACCATGTATGTAAGCACAGGGCTAGATCTATGCGTCTATTTGGGACAGGTATGCTCCTGAGTGGCTTGACGCATGGCTGTTAACGGAAGGCGCACAGGGATGAGTG